TGTTCAGTCACTACAATTAACAAACCTGCCCCAGCCAAGCATCCAGCCCCATCGCCCACTGATTACACGGGCATTCTTTTGTAAAACAGCTCTGCAGAGTGCTGAGCGCCATAAGCCTGTCGCTGTCTCCTTACCAGTGACACCAGCGCCGAGCCCTCACTTGGGGCCGGCAGAAGTGCTTGGTGCAACAGCAGGGCAAGCACTGGATGTCACGATGCTCCTCCGCATCCTACGGACCAGCAGCACCACGCAGCCTGCACTCCCTGCCCGAGGCTCTTCCTACACTGCTTCCATCTCAACCCCGATGAAGCCAGTGTGATGTGAAGGGTAGACAAATTAACTCCACTACTTTTCTGATTCACATACAAGCTCCGAGGGAAGACCTGTTTTTGCATCCAACAGGCACCCATCTTCCCTGCTCCTCTGTAAGCAGTACCAGAGTATTTTTCTTCAGGTAATTCCTAAGAAAATTTAGACTTGCTTTAACAAATCTACTAACATCTCAGTCACCTTACTCCAAAAGCATGGGGTCGCAGAGCTAATTTCTGACTTCAGAATGCAAACTCAGCCGTGACATTACTTCAGGAGCAAAGCCACGTGCCGAGCAGCAGGCAAGCACGGCAAGAGCCTGGACTCCACACCCCTGCCTTGCCTTGGCTGCGGTTTACAGGAGGCTCTGGCTGGCAGCTGCCTGTCCCCAGGTCCCACCGATTCACTCACAGAAACAGCTTCACAGTGTTGCTGCGAGCAGGGGACAATCCCATCGCTCGGGAGGGTACAACTGCACAGCTCCCATGGCTTCTCCTCGGATCAAACCTCAGTTCTTACTCCAGCAACAGGGGGGAAGGGGAGATTGCTTTGCTTGTTACTTTTTATGAAGACAACACACTGCTTTTGGGTCATTTTCCAGGCACCAGGTCTGGAAAATGAAAAAGGGCTCTGGTGAATACAGTAACCCAGACATGTTTGCACTGGCTGTTGCACTAGACAGTAAACAGGTGACTCAAGCACGACTTGGCTCCCCTGCGTGACGGAGTCTGCACAAAGGCCTGGAGTAACCTGAACTGGAGGGTTTTGCCCTGCGGCACACACTTAGGGATGCTAGCTCTGATTTTCCCAAGCTCCTGAGGGAATCTGGTGCTCCAGCTCTCCTAATAAGCAGAACTTGAGCCCTTGGTTACCTTGAAAAATGAGGTTGAGAACTCAAATGTGATGTTAAAAGAGCGTAGGGGCAAAACCAAGGCGAATGAGCCAGTTCTGTAGAACAGCTGGCGGCACACCCCGGCAAGCTCGCATGCGTTCATGTGCAAGCGCAGATTGCCGTGTTCAAAGGAAGGGCCCCCTGGAATTCGCTCGCTCCGATTCCCAGTCCAGCAGTCTGGCTGGCAGGTTATCAAAAGTTTTGAGTTACCTTCAGGATCATTTCAGCCCGAGTCATGCCTTTCACCACTATCTTGGTGTAGCTGGCAGGAGCCTTCCTCACCACCTGGGACCCAATGGAAGGCAGATCCAGGAGAACCATCTTCAGAGAGTGAGTGTCCAGCAGCAGCTGCAATAGTTAATCACACCCTGTTACTCGGGTCCCTTTTACCAAGCTCCATTAGCTGCTATAATCCAACATGCTTGAAAGTGTAATGCTTCCCACGTTGGAAAAAGTCCTGGAAATTGGACGGCAGGAACAGAAGGGACTGACCCACACAATGACCCTTCAAGGAGACACGATCACCCATGGCTACGTATCAGCACTGTTCGTTGACTTTAATGGAGCGCCGCTCTGCTGACTTGAAATGGCTTAGGGCAGCTCAACACTCGGCACAGGAGGCATGGAGTTCCCAGCCTCTTCCCCTTGACCGTATAAAGCGAAACAATCTTGATTACCTGTAGCTGTATCATTATTTAGATACCGAGGTCAAATGAATTAACACCGTGCTTCCTCCTGCACCCAATCACCCACTCTGTGAGGTTTTCTGCATTTACTCAACCGCTTGCTGATTTATTTTTTTTTATTTAAAAAGAGAACTGCAACACAGTACAGCTCAGTGAACTGCTCAGAGAACTGCTCAGTATGCTGTGCTCAGTGGCACACAAACTCACAGCCCGTATGCTGGGTTTTGCTAGACCAGCAGCTAAATAAGCAGCAAGCAGCAGCCATGAAATTCAGCAAAAGCAGATGAGCACTGTCTGATGACAAAATGCCGTGGGTTAGGGGTTCTTAGAGTGAAATTACCCTAAATACCGCACTCTTCTGATTGCACAGGGTGTGTTTAAAGACCAGTGAAGGCCAGAAACCTGAAATCAAACTAGATGAAGAGGAGCACAATTTACTTTTGCAGCACTGAGTGTGAAAACCCGCTGGGCTGTCGGCACACCCAGTGCGTTTTTCCTGCAAAAGGGCTCTCAGGAGCAGGTGGAAGCTCATTCTGGAGCAACGCACAACATTATGGGCACTGCAGGACCCCCCAGCAGTCACCGCGAACAATAGGAACATTTACGGTACCGTGCTCAGCACACGTGGGAATTCAGCTCAAATAGAGAGGCCTGAGCCAAGGAGGAGGGGTGGTGGGTCACGCCACTTCCAGTCTGGACCCTGTTATCTGCGGCAGCGTATCGTTGCTGCTTGCTGCCTGTTTCATGGTTTGCATGAGATGAACCGATGCCATCAATCTCCTCCTGGGAAGTCAGGAAACCACAGCACAGTCGAGCAGCTCTGTGCGCCCCAGAGCTGCCAGAGCCTGGTGGCAGCTTGGGCTGTCATAGCTGGATTCCTGTGCGTCTACGAGGGATCCCATAGATGGAAGATTTTTCCACGGTTGGAGAATTTGCATCTTTCCCACGTAAACTTGTGTCTAACAGGAATTTTACACGCTCTACAGCCCTTCCTGCAGACGCAGCACTTGCAGGCTCTGTCCCCTCACCCTACGTCCCGCTGTTATCCATTCCAGGCCCCTGGCATTGCTAACTCCCTGCCAAAGCCTGCTGAGATGGAGAATTGTCATTAAGTCAGAGACACAATCCCACAGAAAAGGAAACCCTGTAGGTCTCGTTCCCCACTCTGAACACCTCTGTAAATACCGCCCTGGTGTCCAGATTTCAAACACAATTATTAGCAAACAGCAGGAAAAACTGTTTCGGACCAGGAAACACAGGAAAGCATATTCCTGTAGGTCTCGTTCCTGGTGTCCAGATTTCAAACACGATTATTAGCAAACAGCAGGAAAAACTGTGTTTCGGACCAGGAAACACAGGAAAGCATATTCCATGGCAACACGGGCACCAGGGGAGAGGAACCAGCGTGGAAAGATGCCAGTGGGAGTGACCGGGGGTGTTCAAAAGACGCTAAGGCAACCGAGGACCTAGATGCTGCAGAGACAGAGGAGACCACCTTCTGAAGACCTCTGTACATCTAACACCTGGAAGGTATGTCCCATTTACAATGAGATATATTCACTCTGAATCAGGCTAATGAAAACCTTCCCAGTCTGCTTTAAAGAACCAAATTGGGCCCGTTATTCCAATACCGTAATATTAAAACCTTTTAACATTAGACACAAGCCCACTGCTGGCAACCGGTTAATCACTTTAGATGCTTATTTCAAAAAGGACTTCATTTAATCACTCTCAGGTTATTGCTCATCCCACAAGACGAGCAGGAACCGCGCTTCACTCATTTGCTTTCTATTAAGGAAGAGGAAGGTTTTGATGTATAGCTCCTGTTTCATTTTGCAGACACACACTGCTCAGAACCCATCTTTGATGCCTAAAACCCAAGCAGCTTTTAAGGCACCGATTTGAAGTTCACAGCAGTCCCATTAGGGACAATTCTGCTTTTTTTTTTTTTTTTTTTTTTTTTGACACAGGGGAGAAGCTGTACATGCAGGGGACAGCCAAAAGCTGAAAGCCTGCCTCATCCAAACCTCATCCTTGCAGAGTAGCGGGGTCCCAGCCCACAGGAAGGGGTGGGAGATGGGGGGGATCACAGCTCTGCAGCTGCACCCATGGTCTCAAGGTAATGAACACCCTGTGCTGCCTACCCACGTGCAACCTGGGGGCAGGGGCTCCTGTCAAAGGGCAGCACTTCACCAGAAATATGTGTGTTAACTCAAGTGGCAGTAATTTAATGTTTTTTCCTCCCTGAGATCACGTCTCACCATCTTGCAGTATCTACAGCCCTCAATGCGCCACAGGGAGGAAGGTTCCTGGGAGAAAGCTGGGGCGTCCTGAGCCCCAGATCGTCTCTTCCCCCGGTTTCAGTTCCTGGGTCACAGAGGTTGAGGCAGCTTTTTCCCCATCATGCAGCAGAGTTCTGACATGTGCTTGCAACGCCTGAGGAAGCGAGGCGTGGAAGGCATTTATGCAGGAAAGAAACTCCTGTCTTCAGGCACGGCTGCGTCTCCCACCTAGTGAGATTCAAAGCTCCCACCAAACCCAGGGCCTCTGTTCAGCAATTTTTAGGACAGAACAGAGAAAACACTGCACTACACCTCCACAACCCCATCTTCCCAGCACGGCTCTGAGGAGAGGAAGACAGCGGCCATCCATAACTAGCAGGCAAACCGGAGGAAGCAAGAATCTATTTGCGCTGACTGGAACGCAGCCAGGACAGAGGCTCTAGCAAAACTGCCATCAGCCTGCTGAGGAGCCCCCGGGCACCTTAGAGAGGTACGCAAGAAGTTTGTTGTTCCAGTGCTATTGGTACTTTGGCAAAGTTGGAGCTCCCCTGCTTGGGAAGATGCCGAGGAGCCCTCTCCCAAGGACAGGTTCAACTGCAGCAGGATCACTACAAACCTGCTTCCACTCTGCCCTCTACCAGTGTATTCCTGACTCAGCTCTCTGTCCCTTTTAACAAAAACTGCCTTGACTTCTTGAACCCAGAAGTGATGAAATATTACAGCCAACGCAATTACTTTTTCTTACCTGTTCTGCGCCCACCATGCTGATAGGTTTGCACTTGAAGAGGTGGTTAATGAACTTAGGAATGAAGGAGCTGCAGAGAAGAGATAGAAAAATGACACAATTACATGTGAGCATTTGGAGTCATACAGTCATCAGTGATAACAAAGCACACAAAACCAAACCAGGGTGGCTTTCCACAAAGACTCTGTAAGTGCCTGGTTCTCAAGCTGACGCCAGACACATTAAGTGTATTAAATACCAAAACAACTAACCCCAGGTACAATTCTTCTGCTTTAATCCATACTGATCTCTAAGTTAATTGAGAAGTTGCACACATATTCTATGTAAATAAATTGCTATGAACTATATATGAAGTATTACAGTACAAGGTCAAGAACAAGCAAACAAACTATTGCAGATCATAAAACCAGCGACACGCCAGGATTACTATAGCTATTCATGGAGTAGAAGTATCTTGACTGTATCCAGAACCTACATTTTACTGCATACAAGTAATTCCATAACATGCATATTACACACTGAACTTGAGGTCCAGCCAAGGCTGGAGGTCTGCTGGGCCCTGGACGCTCACACAGGAGGGCACTCTTCCAGAAAGCTTCTGGCCAACACAATCAAGACAAGAAAAAGTTTTGTGAAAAGGAAAACACCATTACCCTATTTTACTAACGTGAACTTCAGACTCAGAAAAACGACTAAGGTGCATGTACTCAGTTGGGGAGAACTCAGCAAGGATGGAAATCCAAAATTCGCCACCTTGGACAATGTACTCCAGAGCTTTGGTTTCAGCTTTTTGCTTCTTGATATTAGGCTTTGCTGTCTTTTCATTCTTCAGTGCAGAAGGCAATGCTCCCTTCTGCAGAAGCGCTGGCCGAGCACCTGCAGGAGAAGCTCCTGCCCCACCTACCCTACCAAGGTGCAGCACCAGGAAAACTCAGGAACTGAAGGTGAGGAGAGGGGCCAGCACGAGCAACACGAAATCCGTCTGTCAGGACCACACCACTCATACTCTTGTCTTCTTTTTACTGCCTTGTTTTTAATGTACGCTGCCTCTTTCACATGGCCTTCTTTGGCTGAATGCCTACAAAGCTCACGTTTCCAGGACCTTGCCCATGACCTGGTCGCAGGTCTTAGATTTTAATGGCTCTGTCCTAAGTTCATGTAAGTTGGTCTGTTTTCTGTCCTTTTGAACGAGGCGCCATTTATGGGGATGATCTAAATTCAGCGTGGTTTCCTCCTTGCATCTGTCAAGCCATTTGTTTCCTTCCCACGAAGCAAGGAGCACGGACAGCATCTTGTTTGTCCTGCCACCTGTTTTCCAAGCCAGGCCTTCCTTTTTTTTTTTTTTTTTTGCCCTTTCTCATGGAAGAATGACAAAAGCATAACTCAGGCACAGAGCACGCCAAGCTGCTGAGCAAATCGAAAGAAATGGTTCAAGGAAGAGTCCTTCCAAGCGAAGGCTCCTTCCCTTCCCCTTCCCTCAGACACAGCCACGACCTCTCGCAGTGAATCATCTTTTCCTGGAGAGGCGTCAAGGAGAACAATTTCAAATTACTGTTGAGAACCAGCTACCGGGCTGCCCCAAACAGCTTTGAATTTGGCCACCGGAGAAACAACCTTGGCAACAAAATATAAATAAGAGGAGGAAAACAAGCCCTGTCTCCTCTTGCATGAAAGCATTACAGCAACTTATCTGTTTCAGAAGTCCATTTTTTCAGGTGTTATGACTGACTCCCAGGGGGCAATTGGAGAGTGCCAAGCACAGCTGGAGCTTAGGTGATCCTATAAAATGATCACTGGGTAGCAGCTCTGGATGCAGCAGCTTGCTACAAGTGGAAGAGCACAAGAGATTAATTGTACCTTTGATCTTGCACGTAGGTCCAACTCTCCCTCCCTCTGTAAGGTCAGGCATGGAGCTCAATGTGCATGAGAAACAGGGCGAGCCTTTCTTTCTGGAGGGTGGCAGACCGGCAGTCAAAGGACCCCCTCCCCTCTACTTTTCTGTATAACCACATGGTCTCCCATAGACGGCATTCTGTCTTGCATGAAACAATTCCCAGGCCCCGTAGGACGGCCACCCACAATCAATGCAGAAGGGTAAAGCAACCTTCCATCCCCACATGCCTGTTATTTCACGCTGCCTTATTGGAAACAGCTTCTCGACTCCAGCAGGACAGACAAGACAAACCATAAGATCCAAGGGCTGCTCTGGTATTTTTTTCTTTCTTTTTTTTTTTTTTTTTTTTCCTGGACTAGCAGAGACCGTCAAGAGCAGTTGCATTTAACTGAGAAATTCACTTGAGTCTCTTGCCTCGGCTGGACTCAATGCTTGGCTCTCTTAGCATACAGCAGGCAGTCCTGATGCGAATAATACGTGCATATGCAATGGTAATGCTCTGCACGTGGTTTTGTACTCTAAATGCCTTTACTCCCTGCACATCCACAGAGCTAGACTGGATGCCAGAATTCATTTACAGCTTCGGCTATAAAACTGAATCCAGCAAACCCTCCATAGAAACAGACAAGTCCCCAGTGTAATAATAAAGCAGTGCAAGGCAGATTAGGAACCTAAAGCACAGAAACCACAGCATCTGAGAGGCTCCCATCCAACGGGAGTGGCTCTGCCAACGCCTGTATTTTCCTAATCCCCTGCACTGACGACGCATCAAATGCAATGCCTTGCTAGGCAAGGCAGACAGAGATGCAACCACAGTCTGTCTGTCTGACAGGAGACAGCTACCACCAGACATCACCCAAAGCGTCCTGCTGTCACTGAGTCACTGCAGCTGAGAAGGGTTTTGCTTTACGCCACCCGCCGAGGCGGTGACCAGTCCTCGCAGGCTCGCCCAGGCTTAGCTTGGCCCACTGCTTCGAAACCTCCAGGAGCCTCCTCATCACGATCTTCTTCCGCCTAACTCCTCGCGCTGAGAGCACGATGCAAAGGCCGGAGCAACGGGGAGGAGGCCTGCTGCAGTTCCCCACCATGCTCGACTGTTCGCGATGGACGAGGCGCTTTTCTGGCGAGGGGGAGAGCTGTTTGTTTTTCCTGTCTCTCAGTTCTAATCTCTTCCTCATTGAGGTCAGGTCACAGACTTCCCAAACACATCCCGGCAGAGCAGCCACAGCTTCACCGCTGCGGTTTTTGATTTCAAAGGATAAGGACTGAGGTGCAGCGAGAGCAGAGCCCCTCACCCTGCCCATGAGTGCCTCCTGGAAAGCCGGCTGCTTCTCACTATTTCAAGGGAGCGAGGGTTGCATATTGGTCAAAACAAAGCAAAAATGACAAATTAGGTTAGAGGATTGATGCAATTTCTGATGGCCATTTTTCTTCTTCCAGACTTGGCTCAGATCCCTCAGTTTTAAATTTAGTGACTTTAGATGCCTTCTCCCCTGTGGTCCTGTAACTCAACACTAGCGCTTTATACAATCCATTAGAGCCGAGAAGCTGCTGGCAGTTCAAAAAGATACAGGCATTAACACACGGAGAGGCACAATGCCTGTTAAAAGGATTTTCAGCGTTATGGAGCACACAAAAGGCCAGGTATTTATATTGGGCAGGCCAGCATATTCCATAAGAATCCAGAGCTTTAAAAATACAAATGTTTGTAAGCATTAAAATGTCATAAGCATTTTAAGTAGGTCAGTCCACCCTTACCACTGGGCTAGTTCTTCTTAACACCAAGCTGTACGGAAGGATTCTAAATACGATCCAGCAAAAACAAGCTTCAGGAACCAAATTTTCACTTCTACACCTGATCCGCGTCACAGTGAATTCAGGACCGTGTCTTAAGTTTAACGTGCTGTAGATCAGAGCTGTAGCTGTATTAGAAAGGTTTTGAAGCGGCGTGGTAGTTTTGCAGGTCTCTGTGCTCTGCCATGGCACAAGCTGTGAGGAAGGCACTCAGATGTGAACTTTTCTCCAATGTGGGAGCTGGGTATTTTATCCGGAGTTTACCTGGTATGCGCTTAGCAATAAAGTTAAAAGGGAGGCAACTAAGCTGAGGTATTAAGAGTGCGCTGTGAACAGCTGAGTAAATGGGTTTTTTTATTTATCACCATCTTAGCCATATAAAATTCAAGCGTAACCACACAGAAGGCTTAAGTGCAATAAATTTTCACTGAGACAGCATTTCAAACAGTGATTATGGGCAAGTCCATAGTATGATTTATCAGGAACTGCTCCTTAATGCAAACTAATGAGTACCCTGAGATAGAAGGGGGGAACGAAACTCTCAGGCCAGCCTCCCCGCTGCGAAAGCGAACGGTTCTCAGGAGAGCCTGCTGCATCCTTCCCTGCTGAAGCTCCGGTCGCAAGCCCACACGGTAGCTGCCAGGCCATACAGTTTATTTCAGGATGATTAGCTTACTACAGATGAATGAAACGTTAAGGTATTTTAGAGCGACACATGATATGCACGGTACTGCTCCCAAGTCTACCAGCAGTCACATGCAACACCAAAAGCAGCAGCTACAACTGGTAGAGTCCCCCTGAGGGTTTTTCTTGGGGCATTGGCATACAAAGCTCAGCTGGCCACAGGCAAGCAGGGAAGAGTTCAAAGTATCTTCCCAAAGGACTGAATTTTTGTTTCAGACACAGAGCTTCAAAGTTTGGACGTCCAAGAGATGCTGGAGAGCTGCACCCTCAACCCTGAATCCAGAGGCAAGGGGAATTTCTGTCTCACCTTCCAGTTCTTTCACGCTGCCCAACATTAAGTGACTTGCCAGGAAGACACTCGTAATATCCCCCAAAATCTGAATGTGTATATTCCCTCTCTTACTGAACTATTTTTGCACAGAAAAGTAGTTTTTAGACTGTGAAGGTAGCATATACTCATCACACATGCCCTCCTTACAGTGCTATAGCCATTATAAAAGTTATTTTGAGGCAAAGGATGCACTAAATTTCTCAGTACCTGGAAGCACCGCAGCCTCTTATCACTGGAAGGAAAGTAGGTCCCCATAGCAAGAGTTGTGTCTATAGTCAGACATTCAAAGCCTTTTTTAGATGTCCAACCCCAAACCTGCTGTACTTGGCAAACAGTGCACAGTGATCATCACAGTATTTTATGGGATGGTTTAGACACATGAAAAGGAACTAATCAATACAAATGTCTGAGGAAATCTGCCTCAGCAGGGAACTCGAGACAAGAAATTGAAGTCTCTTTTAACCTTGCCAGCAGCTGCTGGTTCTTGCTGCCCTACTCCACCTCCCTCTGTGCTCTCCCTGGACGGAGAGGGTCTTCACCCCGGCACCGAGCGCCGCTGACGCTGCACACTAAAGGCAAATAGATTATCACGTTCACAGGAGCGAGAACCAGAGACCTGAGAAACTCTGTGCCACGTTGGTAACTTACTTTGCAAATTTTATACAGAACTGAGTGAAATACTTTCTCGTGGAGGCCAGATTGTCGCGGATGATGGGGACATTCTGTTTAATGTGGAGAATCACTGAGGTGACATAAGGACTCTGGTCACCAACATGTTCCACATTCTGCCACTGCATCTGCACAAAGGGGAAAAAACAACCAAAAAGACTGTTTAACTCATTAGGATTCAAGCAATAGGTAAGGAAAACTGCACAAACTTCCTGCCAAAAGATCTCTAAGGAATCATCAAGAGACTGCCTCTGCAATTCACCACCAAGGTCAAGGTCTTTCTCACTATACTGATAAAGCAAAGCCCTTCCTCAACAAGATACAAAGAAAACCCAGAACGGCCCTTTTTCCACCAGAGCAGAGAGAGATTGTACCAGTAACCTACACAAATGGGGACCACTAGGATTAAAAAGGCTTTTGGAGCAGGCCAGGATGCCTTAATATTTAACAGTTTCCAGTTTGCCGGGATGAAGTGCCCATATAAATCCTGATTACAGGCATTTGAGAAAATATCTGCAAGCTTGCAAAGTCTGGATTCCTGTATGGCAGCCAAGACTTTAATACTGGTGAGACTGATGACAGATAGATGGAAGAAATAGAAATAGTCTTAAGTCCAAAGCACTCTACACCAGCGTAGCTCACACTGAAAACACTTCTGGTGTACAAGCTAGGATGCCAACTTCGGCTCATCCCAAGCACACGTAGAAAAATACAAAACAAGAGGAGTTACTCAACCTCCCGTTTTGTTTTCATTTACCGTCAGCAGAAATGCAACAGAATAGCCCTTGTGAGCCAGATGTGCAACCCCCTTGACCTTCTCTAAGCCTTATTTGCAATACACAGGGAGTACACAGCATAAGTCATGTGGGGAAAAAAAAAAGGGTGTAATTGGGTAAGGCCTGGCCAAGCATCCGTGTCTATCACAAAGTCTCACGAGCACCCAGCAGAGTGCTCTTAGCTCTGCTCCTGTTCAGAGACTACGCACTCTGCAATGTGCTCCAACTGTTTGGAGATGCTGTTCCTCATGCTGGAGATGAAACGGGAGGACAACGGGTATGAACTCAGGATAGGAAACTGGGCACGTGCAGATGAGCTTTTTCTTTTGAGGGTGTGTTTGTCCTCAAACTTGTTTTCTCAACTTCTGGATTTAATTACGGCTACTTTGTCTGCTGCAACCCAGCTGATTCAATTCCATCCAAACACCATGCAGCCTAAGTGGGCTCTTGCCTAATGGGCGAGAGAAGCCAAATTCTTTTCAAAACCACAGTGTCTGACAGAGCCTACACGCGTCCTACCAAAGCTGTCTTTATTTAAACCAAGCAACCAAACCTCTAACTTGTTCATCTCGCATCACCCAGGTAGCTAGAAGGGATGGACACCTCTCTCATCACCTGCTCTACAGGTTTTCATTCCACCTTACTTTCATTTGGAAGATTGCTCAAGAGACAACTGCTTTTCTGCTCCTCACGGTACTTCTCATATCAGAAGAAAATCCATTGTGCCTGTCTCTCTGAGGGACTCACACATTCCCAGCGCTGGCCCTTCTTGACGGACACTGATCCTCAGTGAACAGGACCATCCCCATATAGCAGGAACGGCCAGAAAGTAGGAAGGGACTGCCAGGTTGAATTATTGCACCAACAATAAAACAGTAGCTTTCTCATTTTGTTGGTCTTCATTCCAAAAGCAATACTTTACAACCAAACCTTTAAAGCATGAACAGTAAAAATAGCCCTTTGTGTGTTTGTGGGTGTGGGTGTTTCACCCAAAAAAACCCCCAGTAGCTGCAATGAAAGACATAGTACACATACTGAAAAGTCATCAAAAGAAATATGAGCCCAACTCTTCTGGTAAAGCTTTGTTCCTGTCATTTTAAATTTATTCCTCTTTTTCCCCTTGTCCTATGTTTTTCTTGGGATATCCACATAGTTTACATACACAAGCTGAAAATGAGCCCAAAGAACAGGAGCAGAGAGGCCTTGCGCTCGCTGGCCAAAGGGAGAAGCCCGGTGAACGGGGCGCCCCAGCAGCAGCCGAAAGGCACCTGCACGCCGCAAGGACAGGGGGCAACGCGGCCGCCTGCAAGGGCAGGACCTGGGTTTGAAAACCTGGTGGTTTTTTCAGGGATGGTTTTTACAACAAAAACCACAGGACCCTCAAGATTTTAGGGCACTTTCATAAAAAGGAGAGGAGAGGAGAAGCACCCTGAGCAAAACTGGGGTGGTTTGGTACATAGCAAGAGATGCACGAGCTCCTGGGCATAGCAGAGGCTCAAGGGTGCTCCCACGTCTGCCTGGTCCTCAATGTCCCCGCATCCCTGCACGTCCCTCTGCCCCCAGAGAGCTGGGAGTGGGGTGGCAGGGCCAAACCAGGGACCGCCAGGTTCCCCCTGGTGTGGGTCTCTAGGAAAAGGTGTTGCTTCGTGAGTTAATGGAGGATGAGTCTGTCTCCACATCTCCCTATGCTCAGTAGCATCCCACTGCTGTGGCTTACTATTACTGGCTCCAGACTGGGCATGGGGAGCACCCGTAACAGCCGGGACAGGACCTTCTCCCTTGATCTCAAGTTGCTCATGCAGGAAGAGGTGGGAGAGGAGAGGGAAGGCCGTGGGCGCTGCAGGCAGCAGCTATTGCTGCTTTTGAAACTGCCTCCACTGCTTTCTGACACGAGCTTTGGTTTGCACTGTTGCATGCTGCACCTTGTTTGACGGCTAAAATGCACTCATGCTGTCTTTTAATTAGCAGCTGGCAGCTCTGATTGCTCTGCTCTCGGGGATTTCCTCATATGTATTGGAGAGATTATTAGAGCTCCGTGTTTAAGCGCTTGCTGTTGTCCACTCAGTTGTAAAGAGGTAGGAAATTGCAGCTGTGCCAAAAGGTTTTAGTAAAATATAAAAAACCAGCAAGCGATTGACATGATTCACTAAAATGTCCCCCAGCCCTACTTACAAGCACAGTTTTACATATAAATCGATGCTTAATTCAGCAAGTAAATCAAACCTTATCCAGTGCAATCCATAAACTTAACTGGGGCAAAAATATCCCCCCCAAATTAGCAGTTCCCTCATCCTAACAATTAAAAATAAAGCACACCAGGCAATTTAAGCACCTGCTGCAGATCAGTACAACACACTCACAGTTCTTTGTTATCCAGAATATGACAACAGGAGTTGAGGGCAAATTCCTCTCCCACCCCAGATCCCAGCTCCCCATCCCACGGCCGTGTTTAAGCATTCTACACCTGCTGTAAAGTTTGAGTAAAGATTATCACCTGCAAATTTTGTAATATGGGGCCTTCTTGTCATTTACCATTTCTTCCAGAACACACAAGGTAAAGAATCAGGGAAACTGGGCGCCACTCCCAGCTGAAAGCAATATTCGCAAGGCCGTTTTCTGTGTTAAATCTCTCAAAGTGGCCCGCAGCCAAAGTGGATTTAGAGGTTTGAGTATTTCTTAATTTACCTCTATAGTTACCAAACATTTTTGCAAGGGAAAAAAAAGAAAAAGTCAGACTCCAAAAAAGGATTGTGAATGTTGAATCTTGGAGGACACCAGAGTGAAGTAAATGAAAAGAAGCTAAACAAAGGAAGAGCCCGAATGGAGTAGGGGGTCTTGAGACAGACATGCCTTCCTAGTACAGGAAAATTGGAATGGATCAGGCACATGGTCTCTATTCCCTTAATAAAGACTGAAATTTTACACGTTCAAATACGAACCCTGCGTTTAAATAATCATATGCATTTATTATTCAGCTGTCAGAGTAATGAACCCAGCCCTGAAGGAAAGGGAGGGTGAAGGAAAAAAACCCTCCTGCACCAAACCCAGGTCTAGTAAAACTCACATAAAAGCAACTCTGTCTGATGCAAATAGTGGAATGTGTGCACAAGTGACAAGTATTTATTTAGCTAATTTCATAACACTTAGCTTGTTTATATATCATCAGTCCCATCACATGTGCTGCATTTTACCAGTGTTCCAAAGACAAAAATAAATGGCCTACCAGCTGCTGCCTTCTCAAGGTTGTGGTTTACTTGGGTACAAACAGTCAGAGCTAAGCGAGTCAAATACTACTATGCTATGTAGGTTCAGGAGGAGATCTGAGGAACTGTCATGGCACACACACACACCACCTGAAGTGCTGACCCCTTCCTAGCGGCGTTATTTTACTGGGCAAAAAAATCCTCTTTTTATTTGGAACATGTACAAGCTCTGTTACCAGCTGCATTCCACTTCAAATATTAGCTGGGGGTGGCGGGGCTAGTCACAGCTGGAATACATCATAAAGCAGAAAGCTATTAAAATTCATGGCAGCGAGACAGTGTGTTGATCCTACAAGAATGGAGCTCTATGTTTAATATTTCTAATTAAAAAAATAGTTCAATCCACTTTTGTTGTCTTCACCTCTGTCTAAAGCAGTCTGGGTTTTCACAATACTTTGGCAAGAAAGCACAGCTCTGCATTTCAAACATATAAAAGCCAGCAGTGTAACGGCAACAAAATCCTTAAGCACTAATCACATGGGCCTCTCTAGGAATGGCTCCATATGTCCTTGAGAGGATCATAGGAGCAGTAGGGCTCAATCTCAACTCCATATTACCCTTCGAGCACCTCCATTTAACAGCCACAAACAAGTAGGCTAGTAAAACTCCTTGAACACAGGAAGAATAGCAAACGAGAAGGTGTATTTGAAATTTCACGCTAACAAAAGTTTTCCCAATTTTAAAGACTCTCACTGGCAATAGGGGTGGAAAGAGAAAGCCTGAGATACTTACAGAAAGTATTTTATTACCCATGTGTTTTAATGTGCTGCAAAAGAATGAAAGCTCTGCTCTGAATCATAGGAGGGTTTGGGGTGAAGGATGTATTTATAACTACAGCCATCGCTGCTCTGAGAAGCCAGAAGAAATCAATATACAGCTAAGTCTCAGGGCAGCATAAAAGAATACATCAATAACGATATCAAGCAATCAAAGCAAACAAGAACTCCACATGGATTTTAAGGCTACCTCTTCCCAAAATAAATCCACCCCCTACCTTGCTCATAGCAGTCAGGGCAGGGTCGCAGGCTGCATCCAGGTCCTGCACTAACAGCTGTATGCTGTTGGAGATCACACTGCAAAAAAAAAAAAAAAAAAGCAAGCAGGAGGATAGTACTCACCAACACGGTGCCAGAACCGGCGTATTTGACTGGGAAAGGAGGAAAATCATCTATTAGCTGACAGCAGCATTATGCTGTGAACACACGTGGCTAAAACTTGTACTGAACAGAAGCCGGGAAATTCTGCACGCTGTTCATCGGGGAGCTACACAATGGGCTTTAGTGGAGAGGGGACATCTTTACAGTTGACCTTTCTCTGTTTGATACATAGAAGGGGCTGGAGATCAAAGGTGTCAGATAGGGTGACCCCCCCACCCACGTATCGGGAAGTGGAGAAACCCCCGAGTACCAAGCCTAGTACTGGGATTCGGCTTCAAATTTAATCCAGTCTGCACAAAACTAACGTTTTTATCACCTCTCCACTTATTCACAGTCAATATTCTACTATGCACAGAAACTTGCAAAGAGAATTTTAAAAAAAGTACATCTGTAGGAGTTCCGAATGTCTCCCATTTGAGAAGATCAAGGCAGATGTCTTATTTACACTATGTCTAGGATTGCCGCCATCCATTGTTTGAGTTTCTCAGAGACATATACCAGACTAAAGGACACATTAGTCAAACACATTTCTCTCCCTCCTCCCCCCCCTTTTTTTTTTTTAAACAGCATGATATTGCTTAGAGACATATTTGATGCCACCGTATTACAGCGTGCATAAAGGTGCATAAACTGATCCTAAAACAACAGCCAAGAAACACCGTCTGCAGCGACTCGGACCACCCTCAAGGGGATGTAACTCAGTACTCGCATTACAGACAACTTCTGCTAGAAGTAATAAGTGACTGTGTTTTGCTAAGTAAGTACAGTTTTAAGAACAGTGTAAACTTTAAATCTGCCACAGACGCCTGTTTACAACTTCAGGATTATAGATACAAGAACCGTATTTTACTTCTGCTCTTTCTCATGAGGTTAGCACAGATGGGAATCACAGATCTACAAGAAATCTGACCGGTGCTTCCTCAAACCATCTTTCCTCCTCCTCGCCATCTTCATGCAGTTCTCTGTACTGCTCTGGAGTCCACTGTTCAAAATATGAAGTGTCCTCATCAAGACACGGTATCACCCACTCATAACTGCTGCTGGGATCTGGGTGTTGCTCTTTACCGCAACCCACAGAGGTTGGCTACTCCCTTTCCAAGAGCTCTAGCACATAAAGACTGGAACAGGATGCCAAGTAAATGACTGTTCCTTCAGAGCAATTAATTTATTTGTAAAGGCAAACTACAATTAGTTGGAAAAATTAATATGGGAGATGAAGTAACCATTGGCTTCAAGTTACATGATCTGAAAGTTGCATTGGGATAAAAAAAGCCTGTGACCGTTTCTGCTGGTGCCTCTGCTTCTGCTGGGCACTAAAGGATTTACTCCCTTGGGGGATTCCACCAGCTCAAGTGATGCCAAGGGAGCTGGACTGAAATAACCATCTCCAGGGCACAGCTGACTCCTGCTGGCAGTGATCGGTAGGAAAAAGAGTTACGGTTTAGCACCAAAATGAAACGCAACTCCCCCATGGAAGGAAAGCGACTTCATCACTGGTCTCCACACGTCAGGAGTCTGTCTGAAGCTGGATCACCAAGTACAGGTTCTCGCCTGAAAACCACAAGATTGCAAATAGGGAGAGAAACCTATTTGTCTACATTTCAAAATAAACACACCTGCTATAGAGGGGTAACGGTGTGGTGCAAATGCAAAGCATCATGACGCATCAAGAAGGTTTGGATCCTGGTTCTGCTAGAAGCTGCTCTGAACCTTTGCTCCTGGCAGCACATACCCATGCTTCAGTGGCAGTTCATGAATGCCCGTACTATCCCCGACAGACACATGGAAGCTGACAGACAGGGAGGCCGAGGCCATAAATAAGCAGTGTGGTTCTAACAGGGAGCCTTGTAAGCTCAACACTTCGGGCCTTCGAGAGGTCTCTGAATGCTGCCCGTAATCTCGCAACAGATCAATAGGGCAGGAACCACGGATTTCTGGATTTATGAGACAATAATTTTCCTCCCATTGGGCTTCAAGAAGACCTCATTTTCTTTCCCATATTTCCTAAAGAAAATGCTTAGCCACTCCAGGGGTAAACCCCCCCCAAGTTGATCGCTTTATACACATTTGGGGTGGTTCTGCACTCTCCTTTCTGCGAAGGAGGAAACACCACCCGGGGTGTGTAAGCAGCAATGTTTTATCACCTTCTTTACGATCACGCCTAACAAGCTATCAAATCCCAGAAGAAACAACTTGTTTGATGTTGAATGAGCAAACACCAGAGAGATGTTTACAGCTAGGACTTACACTGACAGAAGACTGGACAAAGAGCTATGCTGGAACAGATTGAAAGTCAATTAAAAAGCCTTTGTTACAAGATACATGAGGCCTGTCAGTTTAACTTTAAACCTGTCCAAAACAGCAAGCATGAACTGTACATTTAAACACTTTCCAAAACACATCATATCGGCTGCCTACAACCAACCACCTCATGAGGCAGCCATCGTGGAAACTGGGCAGCGACTCAAGGTAGCTGGCTCTTGCTGGACAGGTCACGAGAAAACACAAAACTCACCCTCAACTTGTCCATGTCAGGAAAACATCCCACTATGTGGCATATTTCATTTCTACTCCCCAGCTACCTTGCTTGCCTTGGCTCAGCGGGCATAGCAACCCTAGCTTTTGGTCAGGGATTCACTCTTAAAAAGATCTGAGAAATATCTAAAGGGAAGGGAGTCTCTGCAGCTTGGAATGGAGCCCAGGACCACGTGAAATACCTGGATGGAGATTCAGTGGGATCCTGCCCACTGGAGCAAGAGAGGAGGAATCACAGGAAGGAAGCCTACTGAAAAAGTCTTACTGCTACCCGAGCTGAATCTTAGTTTTAGGGAGAAAGATTGCTGGTGATAGGGATTACCTTCCCAGCTTTGCCAAGGTTTTCTTTTGTCTGATGCGAGGCAAAACAATTTTTTTTTTGCCTCGATTTCCTTCTCAAAAAATATTCAATCTGTTTGTCAGTGGTGGAGAGAAGAGGATGTTAGAGGGGAGTATTTTTAGCATCGTTACGTGAAAAGTTATTTTAATGAATGATAATCTTCTCTCAATTATAATCCCCAAATATAAGATTGGATCAGTCTTTTATGTCATCTGAAATGGGGTTTGATCATACTGACAAGGCTGCTGATTAACAGTGGGAAGTTAAAGCGGGAAGGAATGTACTGAAATAGCTTCCTTTCTTGAAATGAAACAGCCACCTCCCAGAGCTGCCAAGATGCAAATGATGTTTCAAATGGAAACTCACTATTTCCTTTCCCCTTTCCAGTGCTCTTGTTCCTCTGGCTAGGATGAAGGGGAACAACTACATCTGAAGTCTGTACTACTGCTGCTCTTGGACTAGCCAAAGGATGACCATTCCTTCACCAGGGAAATGCCTATGCCTGAACTGCAGTTCTGGGTGGGTCCTACCGCTGGCTGGGTCCTACAACACTGGTATCTTGGTCTTGTATTACTCCAGCACCATCTGGCTGACAAAGTAGGATGTTTGATATATTCTGGGAGGATGCATCTGCTGAACATACATGCTGAAAGTGTCCATCTCTCCCGTCAGGTTGATTCTCTCCACTAGACTTGCATCCACTTTTTCTTTGAGTTTCTCTTCCAACTGTTAGGAAACAAAACAAGCAACAGAAAGATCAGATTTCTTACTTGAAATGACCAGTCTTAAAAACTTATACCCTGCAAAAGTCAGCTTTTTAAAACCTAATCTGTCCCCAGACTATATCCAAAACTCAGCCTGTAAACAATGGAAATCTCTCCTTGTTGGGCACCCTAGACATCATCATCTGCCAGGATGGCCTACGGTGGCACTGCATCCTCAAAGCAGTAACCTCCATGGCCATATATGTAATGCTAGTGTGCCATGCTAATGTACTAACTTAACACTGTGGCACCTGCCCTGATAATAAAGATGTTTTCCAACACCCTGTCTGCACCCAAACTGCAGAGAAGGAGGATCACCAGCTCTACTGCTGGAGAGGTCCTGATATGGCCAAACATCACAGCTCATCTATCAACCTACGGCATTTTGAAAGCACCTGAATGTAAGGAGCACTGTGGCTGCAAAGCATATCAGCATCAATACCTTCTTTCCTCACTCCACCTCACCCCCATATTTCATGCAAGCATTTTCCCAAACCTGTTTTGAATTACTGTTTTTCCTGGTTTTATAAAAGGGAGATTGTGCACCATGTGAAGACTCTTTCTTTTATGAAAAATTTGGTTCCCAATCCAAAACAAATTATGTCACAAGTATAAAAAGATAGCATCCAAAGCTGATGCTGCAAAGCAGGATTACAAGCAAATGACTTTTCTCAGGTAGAAACAGCAAAATCAATACTTTTCTTTCTCTGAAATACAGATTTAATAATGTAGAGCTCAATAATCAAGGGGATGCTATGTGGAGCAGATACTGCTACGGGTATTTCAGTACTTCTGACTCTTCCAGTCTCCAGAGCAGCCTCCCCCTGAAGGGGGAGCAGCACAGCATCTCCTGACAGAAGAGGGGCTGCTGCTGGGTGCCTTCTCAGAGGTGCTGTAAAGGAAAGCTCACCTGCTGGGTGGTGGCCAAGCAGTACTCCGCAGTACTAAGGATGCTGCAAATGAGGCAGAGTTCTTCTAAAGTAAACTTAGCCACTTCAGAGCCTTCCTTTTCTTTCAGCAAACTAGTGATGGTGAGCCCACCACTGCTGCTAGTTGTCCTGGGAAAAAAAACAAAGACAAAACCTGTAAGGCTTTCGGGTGTACAGACACACAAAGTGCAAAGTTACGACTTTGAAAATGACAGTTTCCAATGGCACAAGAAGCCCTTATGACCACAAAGTCCAATGTCCTGTGCATCACAGGTCAGTGCTGTTCTACATCAAATCTAGAACTGCTATTTTGGCTAAGGAATATCTTTTAGGAAGACAGAACTCAATATCAAGCCTTCAGGCAAAGGCCAATTCACTCATTCACAACATGGTAGATTAGGATGCAAGTGGAATACAGCTTTCCCCAACTACCTTCACCTTCACTGCCAGTCACAAAAAATCTAATTAAAGATCACAGAAAAATCTCAGTAACTATCAGGCAGCTTGTCATATTTATCTTCTCAATACTAAACAGATGTCGACATGCATTTGAAACTTCGGTAACCCGATTTAAAAACTGATGATATCAACACAGTAAATTATAGTAGATGCAGCTTCTTTCCACCGTCTTCCAGTGATTAACGGCTGCGTATCAACAAAGAAAGGCTCAGAACAGTTTAGACTCAGGAAATTCCCTACCTCTCAACTCTTTATAATCCAAATCCATTAAAAAAATAGGACAGCGATATTTATCTTGGACAGCAAAAATGGAGCACACAAAAAAATGTGTATAAAGAATGCAACTGAGGTCTGATGGAGAATGCACATTAAATTTATCTTTCCACTTGTCTGGATGTAACCCTCTCCCCTTCCATCTGTAAAAGATTTTACTGGTTTCAGAAAGTCATTCTGTTGCTCCCAGGTTTACAAAGAAAACAAAGCTAAAGATGGTAAATAGCATACAAAATTATCGGTAGTTAAGGTTGCCAATATCTCAAGTTGCTCCTTCAGCCTGTACACTTACCCGTCTTGGTGTAAACCTGTAATGATTTCCTTTATTTTCACTGGATTTACATCTACGTATTTTATTCATACATATATAGATATATATAGATATAAAAAATGTTACAGATCAGAGGGAATTACAGGTAAGCACTTTAGCATCACACAAATAAAACCACCTTCATCATAAATTATTATATGTAAAACATTGAGCTAAGGCAGCTAAGAATCACAGTACAACTGTTACCCAAGTGGCAGGGTAAGCGCAATTCTGAAAGCCAGACCTCTCTGAAGACACTTGGGCTGGCATTTCAAAAGGAACTTCAAGAAACTGTAAATCTGACTGCTAATCAAAGCCAAATATGAAGCTGTCCTCCAGGGGCCCTTAAAAGAAAAACAATGCCGTTACTATCCATTTGGTCTCTTGCTGTTTCTCAGCGCAACAAACTGAACTTTTGAGAAAATCATCAAGCACATGTAGTCATATTGCTGCTACGTGGTTGCTTTGACAGTGAAACGTTAGCGTTCACAAGCATGTATTTATTAATTCTATTTACAAAGCATCTGCTCCTCACTGGAATGTCTCACCAGACGGTCCTGCAGCATTTGGGAAGCAAAACTCACTTGGGCAGGTTTCCAGACAGAATTTTCCAAGCATATTCCCGAAGGTACTTCTGGAATATGGTGGTCAGGGCTATCATCGGCTCGCCTGTGCTGAGCTGGGAGCACTGCACCATGCACTTCTTGTAGTACACGAAGAGGTCGGCACAGCTGGGCAGGACGGCTCCTCCTTCGTCCACGTTGGGTTTGGGGGGACCTTGAGCCTTGAAGCCAGCCACAAACCTGTCAATCAGTTCGCCGAGATTTCTGATGGATGTGGGGGAACAACAGAAAGATATTTTAGTATGTTGGGCGAAGAACCGGAGGGGAGAGAGAGAACAATGCTTAAAAGCAGATGCCTTGCCTTGTGACACCAGCAAACACATTCAGATTTTAGCAGTTGGGTATTCCAGCCCTTTCTTATCTCCACCCGCTCAGCACAAAGCTCATACAATAACGTGGACTGCACCGATGAGTAACAACCTTTTGTACTCAAAGAGGTTTAGTGGCAGCTTCAATCTGTTCTCCAGTCACATATAAAAGCTCACAAGTCTGCCAGGACTGGGTTCAGCACATCTGATGCAAGTGCATAAAGACTACGCTCAAGTTTCATTCCTGGCACCAGCAAAAGTAACAGTCGGGCTTCCCGTATCAGCGGCCTCTGGAGCAGACCTGGGAGAATACGGCTTTTAAAGGGATGTGCTCAAAATGGTGTGCCATGTGCCATTTCTTGGTCCCATTTGGATACCACCTGGTTTTGCACAACTGCACACATCCTTTAAAGCAGTTTTATTTAGCATGAGCACAAAGTGCACTTCCTACTTAAACTCTTTTTAAAAGCACCAAAAAGCCCTCCTATTGTCTCCAGTGATTCATTATAGCCTGGTCCTTAATCAAGCATTTTGGTCTTTAGGCAACAATAAACTTCACTCCACCGTTTCATCACGACAAAAAGGCTTTTTAGCATGGCAGAGGGCCAGAACCATCAATACAGGACCAAAGAAGTCTTCTGATCTTGGGGAGTTCCTCTGGTCCTGCTCCTCCAGAGACAGCACATCCGCGTCAGGAACAAAGAGCAGCCCTGCCAGCCCCGGAGCTCGGCTAAGTGGAGCAACCTTTGCCAGATGAACTCAATTACAGCGATAAACCTCCTCCCCCAGACACACAAATCCATGCACACTTCCATGAGGAAGCTTGGCTTTTGAGGAATATACAGACATTTCAGATGACAGAGTGGCACTCCACTGACCAAAAGGAGTTGTGAAGTTTCTGTATTTTGTATTCCCATTTCCACTACGGTCTTGGCTCTAGTTCCCCCAGCTCTCTCCTTCCATGGCACAGCCTGTATTATCATTATTTTTCAAGAACAGGCTTGTTTAACAGAATTGCAATACTGTCCATAGAAATGAGAACTCTTCTTTAAAAGCCCATCAAAAAGTTGCAACTGCAAAGGTTCTCCTGATCTTAGGCCAGCCCACAGGGCACCCAGCACAACACGAGAGTTCATGCATTAGGGTCTCCCAGGATGGGTACGGCCTTACCGCCCGCGCAGCGGCTGCGACTCTCCAGCACATTCTCACTTACCTCTGCCAACGAAAGGGGAAAGACCCACCAATGACGAAAACTTTTCCCCAGTTTCTGTCCTTTTTTTCTTTTCATCTTGTGAAAGAGAAGAACCACTCTGATTCCAGTTTACCACACTGCACTAGTGGAAAAGGTGACCTGGCTCTTCCCTAATAAACTTACATATTGCTGCACCAAAACAGATGAGCTCCTACCGCAGATCATCCACTGGGCCAAACTAATCTACAGAAATGTGCTTGCAATATCAGGGCTTTAAATCATGAAGCAAGACTCTTTGGCTTAAGCTAGGCTCATAGGCTATTGCAAAGACAAGTAGCCCCTTTTTCATGCTTATTGCTTACCGCTTTGAGTACTTCACATAGCTCTGATTCCACACACACACACAGTTCCTCGGCTTTGTTACAAGAACTGTAAAAACATCAGGCTGCTCAACCGATGTGATAAATCTCTACACTGGCACGAGCAATTGAACGCTGAACCGAAGCATTGATTGTATTGGACCACAGTGAAGCAAAATACACCTCCCCCCGTAGCCCTAGGAGAGCCAAGCAGATGGCTGCTGCAGGAGGGCTCGCACGTGCTGCGAGCTGCAGCGTTCCTTCAGGTTCTCAAGTACGTGGCTTGCTCCTTGTCAAAAGTCCCACTAAATTCAACAGCTGCATTTCCACCTCTGCATCTGTGCTTTGCTCCGTCTGCACAACGAAGTGGAGCTTTCTTAGCATTCACCAGCCACTTTTTTTTTATTTTTATTCTCTCAGTCTCAAGACGCAGTGAGGAATGTCAGTGGCTTTTGTTTCTTTATGCTTACTCCACGTGTTCTCCTCTTCTCCGAGGCAAAATGAAATGTATCTACATTTTCCTGGTCCCCCAAGGTCTTGTCAAGTGGGATGCACGAGCAAATGCAGCTGCCCAAAATAGCTGGGGGAGCAGCGCTAGAGCTTCATGCTTGCTCTGATCCTAACCTGGACAAACTGCCCATCACAGGCAGGCGATGAGGACTGCTCTGATTTCAGCATGGGATATGATACAAGAAAAACATCAGGATATGGTGCACGAAGGGAACTGATACATTATTAATGCACACCTCAGTTGATGCCAATCACAAATTTCCACATTAGACTCAGCTGGCCCAAATACAACACGAAGGCTAACAAGCTTTGTGTGGTACAGTGGGAGCACAAAGAACGTGGCAGAAAAAACTACTGGGAGATGAAACATGAAGAAGGCAGGAGAGCTACAGAAAATGAACATTTTCTCTATGTAGCCTCTGCAAAAAAGCTCAAAGCAAATTCTCTCATAGCGCAGATGTGGTATTTCCTAACAGTAGCATACTTACTGGGAGCAAGAATTCTCCAAGAGAAAATATGAAATGAAATCTTATAAAGGGAATTTTATTTCACTCCTTGAATCCTTTTATTCCTGTATTTCCTCTTCCTTTTTTCTTTCACTCAAGCTACTCAGTGTTTTTTCTGCATCTCTGGCCATCGTGAGAGGAACCAGACAACATCTCAGCAGCACGAGAGAAGAACGTGGTGCTTAGTAAGTCAGTCTGTTTGGTGACATGAGCAGTTGGTATCCGTTGGGCGCTGGGGAAGGACAAAGGCATTGAGACACCCGCACCACCTGTGGGATAGTTTCCAAGGGCTGGGTGTTTTGGAAGCCCCTTTGCTCATGAGGCCGCAAACACACACCACATATAGAAAGTGCTGGTTTTCCAAACAATCTGGAGGCAGGCATGCATTTTAGCACGCTTAACCACGGCTCTGCAGACCTGACAGAGCTCTTCCTTTACTCCACCAGAAGGGCTTAGCTCTCACCTGTATGCTCCCGCTGCTCCGACAGACCACAAAGAAGAGGCCAAAGACACATATCCCAAAGGGGCAGAAATAAAATCTGCTTCGCTGTTAAGACATCCGATATTTACGCTGCACCTCAGGGTGGAGAGCAGCATCTTTAAAGTCCTTCTTTTAGGTGTTTCCTCTTAAATTGCTACAGATTTTGGCACTGTGCTTCTTTAAATGGGTATGGAAACAATTGTTCAGGACTAAAGGTCCAGGCTGCTTTCTGCCATAGACTTAAGGCAATGATGAACAAAACTGTCACACTACTCTCACTATTCAGAGCCCAAACATACAATTAATTATCTAAGCAGCTCCTCATTTTCAGACATCAGCAACAGATTCTGCAGAAGTTCAATCAAAGGGGGAAGAAGAGAGAAAATCATAAAGGAAAGCAATTTTTTGGCAGTCAGGGCAGCATAGGGAATACTGTGGCAGTTTTTCTTTGAACTCCTTGCAGCCTGTGGCTATAAAGCTAATATAAAACATCTCAGGATTGTAAAGGAAAAGGGAAAAGAAAAAAAAAAAAAAAGAAGCAACTGAAAGGGCTAGGAGTGCAGTGGGGTAGAATTACCAAAACGGGGATTAAAATGGCCCCCAGTGAGAAGGGAAGAAATATTCAAACACATTAGTGCTCAGCTGGCTGAGGGCAGGGGGGGGAAATATCTGTTTCTCTTTGTTATACTGCAGAACATAACCTAAACCCAGCATGACAGACCAGTGTGTGAGAGGTTTTTTATTTATTTATTTTAAGCAGAGAAGGTTAATGGGCACAGGAAACCTTTTTCAAGGTGGCTATCTTGGAGTTTGGACAAAATCAGGACACTATGAGAGAGTTATGCGCTCTCTCATGTGTAAGTCCTTGGAAGATAGAAGGGCACAGACGGATGAGTTGCACGAGACAGGGACCTCTTTCTACTTTCCAGCCACTAACCTGCACTAGAAAGACTGTATTAAACCTTTTTCAACTATCTCCTCTCCCAGTTGGCACTGCATTTGTTACAGAGATGCTATTTAAACCCTGGTGTGAATCGAGGTGCACAGGAAAGTGTGGTGAGAGCTCTAAAAACTTCTCAGAGCTCCAAGCTGAAAGCTCCTTTCATTCAAGTTATTTTGCTGCAAGTCAAAGAGGAAGATGAAGAAGGGTTCTAGGGATTAAAGCCTCTGCTAAAGCCCCAATCTGTGAGCGATGATAATGTTATCTTACAGCCAGCTCATCTACAGCAGCTTTCATCTAAGGATCTCAAATAACTTACTTCTATAAAGCAAATCTTGAAACTCCTCTGCCACAAAGCCACATGTGTATTTTACAGAAAAAGCAAACCTACTATTTGCGGAAGACACGAGACGAAAGAAAGGCGTATGTCTGCAGTGGGAATTGCAGAGGCAACAGAAGCAATTTCAGAAACACTAAGCCTCTTCCGCAGAAAGGCAGTGGGCATCATTCCTGCAGGCCTTTGCAATTACAGATGAAACCAATATCCACAGCCTTCTGAACGCTCAGTTTTGCCCAAGTAAAGGTCCCACTCATTCTAATTTTCGTGAACCAGGAGTATTGTTCCCAATGAAATCAGAAAGCAGACTTCCAAGAAATTAATTTCCTGCAGCTTGAGTGCAGAATGCAGTACAATCCAACTGTAATACGCGTTCAAAAGCAAAAAACACAAAAGACCACGCTGGTTACTCACTTGTCCTGGGACTCGATATACACGTAAAGGTGAGGCTCAAAGCACTTGGAAACAATGCCATGGAAAGGATTGTCAGGGACCTTTGGCTTCTTTGGCTGTAAGAAAACATTTAGAGTGTTGGTTTCATACCTGCCCTGTAAGACCTAGGAGAAATAGTAATGTAACAATGCGGAAGGATCTAAGTCTTTACAAATATTACAATACACAAATTTGCTGTCAAATAATCAAAGGCGTGTAACCAACAGTGTATCACGGGCAGATGAGGTGCTTAGGGACAGGGTTTAGTGGTGGGATGCAGGGTTAGGGGAACGGTTGGACTTGATGATCTTAAAGGGCTTTTCCAACCTAACTGATTCTATGATTCTGTTCTATATACAGTGTTAGTGCGTCCAAGTCTTCCCTTGCTCTTGCAGAGCTGTTAATATTCCAAGGAATTATCTTTTCACTTGTAAAATATTCTTAGCCTTAGAGCGAATCTGCTCCATGCAAACAATTTCAGTAGAAGAATCCTAATGCAGTTTGTAAATAAAACCTAGCTGAACTCTTTGAGCAGTTACAAGACTCCACTAATCACCTCTGAAATGAAACGCAGCAGTTAGTTATTTGGAAGCAACATTGAAAAAATCCCTACGTTTTAAAACATTAAAGATAATAACTCAAAGTTACAGACTTCATCTGGATGAATTTTATTTAGATAAACAGACGTAGTTACTGGAGGAGCTGGAATCGTACAGGCAACATTACAGGACTGCTTTCACTGTGAAACATGTTTCTGGGGATGCAAAGACTTCTATTTTAAAATCACATTTAGAGCATTAAGCATATACGCCATTTGGGAGCCATCCGGTTTACTCCGATTTTAGCTTAGTGCTGCACTCTACACCATGGCCAAGCACATCTCGTTGAAGCCACTGGGACTACTCATATGCTTAAATCTGTGTGTGTTTAAGTACCAGGCTGGGCAGGGCCTTTAAGCTCATCTTTGCCCTACAGCTAGATTTTTTTTTTTTTTTTTTTTTACTGATAGACAAATTTTCTTGTTGCTTGCCAGCAAGCTGACAATTTTTCACTGCCTGCAAAGAGGGCTGCGGTGATTCTGGAATGGAATTCTTGCCTCTCTCCAGGATCAGCTCCCAGCCAATGAAGATATGAATTTTTCCAGCTGATTTTTTTTTCTTTTTAGCATAAGAAAAGCAAAACAAGAGAGCCTGAAGGACATACTCTCCTAAATGACAGAGGAGGTGGCCTGAAGTTGTTTGCAGAAACAGCAAAGAATGACAAGGCAAGCATTTCTCAGAAATAATTAAGACTTAAAGACACAATGAACATACGGCTACAAACCTCAAGTGAGCCAATGGTTTTATGGAGACCAGACCACCTCCATGAGACTGGCTTCATTAACCTTCTCACTAAGAGCATGACTGGAGAATGTAAGTTTTTACAGCTTTGGGAGAGAGCCACTACCCAGCATTCTCCGCCCCAGCCCCTTTGCCAGTGCCTGCCCATTTCTGCCGGATGCACACGCTCATCGGAGCCCGGAGGAAAACAATAGGTGGTAATTACAGAAACCTTCCAGTCACCAAGTCTCCAGGATGGCAGCACCAACGCAAGGTTGCAGATTCACGATGTTTATGATTATGGAAGAGACAGCTCCTAATGCAGGACTGGTTTTCTGTGTGTGCGCCTGTGTTTTTGCATCATGCTGCTCCCAGCATGTCTGGTGGAGAGAATACTAAATCTTTTAACAGTAGCAGTGAAGCTGTATTTCTGAGTGTGCAAGCCTGTCCAAAAACTGCAGATGTTTAAGCTATTTCCTCCTTGAGTTTGATGGAAATAATAAAAGGTTACTGTTGTCACAGTAAGGAGGTCTGCAGCTGGCCCAGTTTCCTTTCATTACTATCCAAAGTAAACAGATTAAATCGAACTGCTAGGATCACTAAAAGAGGTTCTTTTTTAACATGGATTTCCCCCCCCCCAAAAAACTCTTGTGCTCCCTCTTACACTCCCAAGCATCTTGAATTCTCAGGACTAATGTCTTGGAAGAGCTCTACCACTCAAAACTCTTCATCTTCAACTCTTGTTGTCCCTTCTCTTCTTCAGCGGGTGACAGCACAAGATGAGACATCCAACGTGAACTCACCAGCACTAACCACCAGCCGCTGGCGCTCTGAAACTGAAATACTGGAGCCTACGGGGCTCCCATTTGGCAGGCAGGCGCCTGTGGGGCAGCCATCCTGGCAGCAGAGCCCAGCTCCGCGTTGTGAGCGTTAACACAGGGCGTACCCAGAAAGAGAGGGCAACCTCGCCACAAACAGCATTGCAAAGGGATGGCTCAATGGCTGGCTTCAAACCAGCCTCCCCACGTACCGGGAGCAGGGCAGCTCCTTCCTCAGAAGCACCCGAACTACTTCTGGCCAGAGCAGTGCATTCTACTGCTCAATAAAACCAGCCCCAAGCAGCCTAATTATTGCAATTATCTCTTCACCTGCCTTCTAGCACCATTGATTTCTCCAAGGATGTCCTTTCATCCAAACACTGCACATCAGAGCCAACCTTCTCCCAGCCATTACAGACAGTGGAGAGCAAGCTCTTCACAAAAAATACACCACACACGTGTCTCCCCAAATTCCCAATCTCTGTCTTCCAGATCACTGATAAAGTGCAGCCAATACCAACTGCCCAAGCTGTATCTGAATGGAAGAGCAAAACTTTGCTTAACCATTCTGTTTCAGGACTTCTGCTGTGGGTGGAAGGCAAAGGGCTGCCCTGCTCATGCGAAAATCTGGAGGGGATGCGGTGCGCCAGCTACCACCCCCCAATCTCCCCAGGGGCATGGACCTGAGTAGGTCCTAGGGCCCTGGTCATCCATCGGGATACCACCTGTAAATGGCCTGTTTTACCAACCAAAGCAACTTACAATTGAACACTTAGAAAACGTCCGTCTGGTGAGTAAAAAATATGGGGCTTACAGGCTTTGATATCGGTGCCAATTAAAACAGTTGCATTTACTATTCACTCCTTTAATGTTTGCAGAGGGCTTTGGAGACCCAATGCTTTTACAAGTGGCTAGGCGTCACCTGCTTTGCAGAGGTAACGGATGAAAAGCTCTATAGAGATAAAAATCCCAGAAGTAATATATTTGGAGTGCAAATCTAAAACTGACACTTGAAAGTTCAATGAGTTGCCTGGTGACTCCAGACTTAAGTTTGCTTGGCTGACAAGGCAAAATATGAATTGCAACTGCTTGCAGCGGGAGCTGCTTCTGGGATCTGAAAAGCCAACTATGCTAGTCCATCTCTCTTTGACAGAAATCCTGTAGTTACTTTTGAGCTGTTGCTGCATGGGCTAGAACAGAATCCAACTCACTCTCATGTGGCAGGATTGCCTTTGCACTATTAACTGAAATAAAGATTGCTTTGGTTTCAGCGAAGCGAGCCAGAGCAAACCACGGTCGTACTGGGAGCTGTATGCTGCACAGAGGATCAAAACTGTGCTAAATTAATTGCTGTGAAACAAGCCTTTCAAATCAATGTGATGGGAAAGGCTTAGGCACCACCAGAGATTTCGACACAGAGACTGCCTCACTGACAACGGGAGAACTTCAAAGACTTACTTTGTCCATATCACTTTTCTCGATCACAATCTCATCTGTCTCCGTCCCAGTTTCATCCTCCAGGAATGGGTTGGTGGAGGGAGGTGGCACTTCTGGCTTCTTCTGTTAAAAAGAGCAAGCTCCTTAGAGAACAGTCTGTTTTCTCCCCTCTGGCACACAGCTGCATCCATGTTTTGCTTTACTAAGCCCTTCGAAGCACTGCACAGTGGTTTGTCTTCTCCAAGCACAGAGGAGACTGCAGGGTGCCAGGTAGGGCCTCTCCATCACGGTTGGAGTGTATGCCCTCCTACTACAGGGCTAGAGTCTAGTTCCCTCTCCACCAGCACACTTTATCTTCAGCACCCTCTTACCACCCGCTGCTCTTGCGCCCACGCTCACCCGCTCTGCCCGAGTCGTCCCTGGAAGGGGCACTTTGACTAGCACCGAATCTCCACTCTCTCAAACCACGCACTCCAGAGCATGTGTTCTCCATGGGGAGGACCCATGACAGCAGGCCCCACCACTCTGCTGCCACAGTAAATCCCGTGTTACTGCTCCCATCAGACTCCTTGTCCCACCGTGCACTCACCAGAGCGCCACTTATAATTATGGCCTTCATTTTGTGTATAAAACAGGTCAGATGATGACATCCAGTGTCATAGCCTCTAGGCTGCTCAGAAAGGGGCACAGGAGAGGATTTTCTTTTATTTCAAGCCACACACACACCCCTTCTGTTTTTGTCAGTTTTAACAGCTTCCGTGCCTACCTTCACCAAAGGGATAACAACCCAGTGACGCCAATTTAATTAAGGCTGAAAGTTTCATATGAAATTTGTCAGAAAAAGAAAGCCATGTTCTTGAGAGATCTAAATTCAGCCAGGAGGAGAACCTTAGAGGACTTCCCTTATTAATTAGCGGCACCTACTGATCCACAACAAATTACAAACAGGTCCCGCAGGCTTGCCTCATAGGCTGAATTATCACATCCAAGGAGGCTTCAAGACACCAGCTGGACAGAGAAGCCAACCTCAAACCAGTGGCTTCTGAGCCACACGTGGACTCTGTGCTCCCAGGGCACTTGGCTGGCAGAGCTCTTGGCTGAGATTTCAGGCAGAAAAAGCACAGAGATGACCCCAGAGATATTCACTGAGCTGTTTCTCTTGGCTCTGCCTTTATAATCTACCAAATGAGACACTGAACAGTAGAAGTTACCAACGCCCTGCAAGTAAGACTAAACCAACAGACAATGTGGGATTGAACGATGGTACCGTGCGGTGAACGTGTGGTAACTAGAAATGAAGAGAAGAGGGGACTTTTAGTTCTAATGTGTCACTGACATGCAGAGAACAAACATTATAATGCAGTCACCATGCCATAATTACTTTGTGGTTCTCCACAGCAATGTGGCTTCAGTTGCAAACAGCACAGGGCCCAGGAGAACCAAAAAAAGTCCACAACCAGTGTACTCTCCTTCTTGTGAGCCCTGTGCCATCCTCTCGGCCACATTCTGCAAGATCAAGAGTCACCTTCCCAATTACAACCTAACCACACCAAACACCCTGACCTGCCAGCGCAAGAGGAGGCTGCAGGTGACACTTTTTGCAGTCTCCCATTACCATAGCTATGTGTGAGAGGGGGCTTTTTTCTCCCAAAGCAGCTGTGGACTAAAGGGTTGGTCTTCAGAAATTCCCTTACCACTGTCCCATCAGTTAGAGTGCAACCGGAGAAGCGTTTAGCCAGAAGTCCTTCAAAGTTGGTTGTCCTCTGAATTGCAAACAAAAGCAATTTCACCTCAATCTCCTTTGCTCTTGTGCGCATTATCTTAGCGAGCTCTGTCCTGAAAAAGAGAGGGGGAAACCGAAAAAACAAATGTGGTTTTCTATAAAGATCTGAAACGTAAGACTGTAATTCAGCCTATTCCCTAGAGATACTTTCATCACAAAATTCGAGCTAATTCCTAAGATGCTCTCTTAACACACAACCGCTTTACGGATCACATTTCAAACATAACCACAGTTATTTAGAGCTTTGTGCGTAACGGGACCCCATCTCCTAACACCCAGCACATCACTGCAGCCAGGGAAGGCCACAGTATCAAACCTTGGGAAGCACAGTGCCTCCAAGTGGGGTCCCAGCACAAAGGCAATGGTGCTACTGGGGCTCAAGCTGGCACCTTCCTCTGGTCCCACATCTCTGGCTGGCAAAGAGCATGGTCCGGGGCAGTCACACCCAGAGTCAGCTCACGTTTTTTCCACCTGGCCTCTAATATTACTGACTTCTGCCTTTGTTACATTGAAAATTGACTTCCGCATCATCTCACTCTCTCAACAGTACATGCAGTTTTAGTGAAGCTTCTCGGGGTTTTCATTCTTCACTTGCTTTTAACCATGGGCAATCCTACACAGATATTTGAAGACTGCCTTTAAAGTCCTATGGACATACGATCAGTTTGGCGAACGACAAGCCAACCTTTTGTTTTAAGGAAGGCAGCTCTGCCGGGAAGCATCGTGAGCTCCCCAGATGCCCACCTCGTGACGTGGCAGAACTCCACAGCGATGCGCTCCGTCATGCACCACTCCTGGGGGAACATGCGCCCGTACTTCTCCTCATAGTCCACCAGCTGACGCTTTATCCAAGCGTAGCGCCGGTCAATCTTATCCAGCCAGGCCACCTGAAGAAGATGGAGAACAACATTTTTAGCAGCAGCAGCTGCTAATACTCAGCCTGACTGCTTAACTGTGCCGCCACAGTTTCGCAGAGGAGCTTGGGCTATCGATCAAAGCTAACTTGACCACTATTAATAATACTCTGAACGCTAACAGTCATTCTTCAAAGTGCTTAAACACATGCCAGACTGAAAACCCAATCTTGTGCGAATTAAGAGAGCAAGTTCTGTTGAAAATGAGGATAACAGTACTCCTAAATCATGTAGGTACTACTGAAAACTCAATCCAATAATAATTCATTTGATCCCACCCTCTTTGTTTCACAGACAGAGAAGGTAAAGTCCACAGTGAGATGAGAACGCAGGAATTCCTGAATTCTCAGCGTTCAGCTGGTTTTCACGTTCTGGAGACCGTGGATCCACAAACTTCTACAGGAATTCTTACAACATGAGCAGGATGGGATTTTCTTCCCTGCAATATTAGTGCTTTCTGGTCAAAAATTAGAAAGATTAATCAAAAAAACTTTGATGGAAAAATGTTATTTAAAATGAAGCGGTTTAGCCTTTTTCTCCTTTTTGTCTTGAACTGTCAAAATTTCAAAATTGTTAAAATACATTTTGATCCAATGTTGGTTTTGGTTGGTTTGTTTTGTGGTTTTTTTTTTCCAAATCCAAGATGATTATAATAAATTTTTTAAAAGCTGTTAGCATCAGGACAGGAAGTTTAAAAATTAGCTACAAAGATTAATCCACTTCCTGGAAATCCCCCCCTCCACCCCGTTTGAGGCATTTGGGGGATTTTTTTGTTTGTTTGGGGAGGGAGGTGTGGTTGTTTTTCAAAGTTTTTGGGTTTGCAATTTCAAAGTTTAAATTTTCAACCCTTTAAAGGGCCAAAAGTATATCTAACTTGAATTTATTTATTTACTATACAGGGGGAAAACATTCCCAGTGCTGATCTATGAAACCGAGGTCTAAGGTGGGAGGAGGTCATCCTGGCAGAGACGACATTGACTCCCAACTCATCGGCCAGTCCAGATCACACCCGCAAGTCACTGCTTCCGAGCCCCCGGGTTAGAAACATTTCACCACAGGAACCTGTGGAAACGTGAACTTTGTGAACGCCAGCAGAGCAAAACGTGAAATCCAAACGTAGCCCGCTAAGCTTCCCTTACATCTTGGTTTTCCTGGAAAAGGACCAGATACTCTGAGAGGTGTTGTTTAATAAATTTCTTGATGATTTCCTGTTTGATTCTGGGATCCAGGACATTGGCGACTAGACACGCATCACGTAGGACATTGCTGGGTCCACCAGGCCTCTATCAAAATAAACAGGAACAAATGATTTAAGGTCAAATAGCTGAATGGGTGATTGTAAATTGTACTGCATCCAGGTTATCTTGTTTTTATCCTTTCCCATTATTCTTCTCTTTTTGATGCTTCTGCTACTACTCTTTATTATCACTCAAGACACCTTTCTTCTGTTGGATGAAAACTGAGCTGCTTCCATTTCACTGGCAGTAAAGTTGTTCTATAGCTCAATGGCCAGGAAGCTCCCTACCAAAGAGGAGCAGCCAGCTCCATCTACAGCAAGAACTGCTGTCCCGTCACTTCTGTAGAGCCTTTCATCAGCCTAGATATTCTGAGGAACAGCCAAGAGAAACAGCTGACAAATGGGACGAGCAATCCCCTTTTCTGCAAACCTGAAGGCCAAATGAATGGGGCAAAAAAGCAGCCTAGAGATCTGCAACACAAAGTAGCATCTGCTGGTCTGTATTGGTGCATACCATGATGTTAGTGGAGAAGACAGAAAATTTAGAAACATTTTTTAAAAAAAAAAATCTCTTCTGATGCTGCTTTATGTGGACACTGATTTGCCTTTCATCAAGGATCTGTTCCGAATAGTTTCCTCATTTCTGTACTTGTTAGTTTTATGAAGAAACCAGCAGAGCTGGTACTTTGGAAGACAGAACTCATGTTTTCTTTTAAGAAGCTCCCTACCAAAGAGGAGCAGCCAGCTCCATCTACAGCAAGAACTGCTGTCCCGTCACTTCTGTAGAGCCTTTCATCAGCCTAGATATTCTGAGGAACAGCCAAGAGAAACAGCTGACAAATGGGACGAGCAATCCCCTTTTCTGCAAACCTGAAGGCCAAATGAATGGGGCAAAAAGCAGCCTAGAGATCTGCAACACAAAGTAGCATCTGCTGGTCTGTATTGGTGCATACCATGATGTTAGTGGAGAAGACAGAAAATTTAGAAACATTTTTTAAAAAAAAATCTCTTCTGATGCTGCTTTATGTGGACACTGATTTGCCTTTCATCAAGGATCTGTTCCGAATAGTTTCCTCATTTCTGTACTTGTTAGTTTTATGAAGAAACCAGCAGAGCTGGTACTTTGGAAGACAGAACTCATGTTTTCTTTTAAATAAATTCAAATTCACACCTACCCCCCATATTGTTTGCAATTGTTTGGATGCATAATTTTGGGGAAGCACACTTGGTGCCTTAGCCCTAGCCCAGATTTGTATCTGTACTGTCTGAGTAAACCAGAGACAAATTTGTTGGCAAGCATGTCAACAGCCAGCCTGTGCTTGGCTTTCCCTAAACACAACACGAGCCTTCTGTGTCCAACAAATAACCAGTAACCTGGGTGAGATGCCAAGGGAGCCCCACTTTGGTCTATTGGGCTGCACATGAATTGCTTGGGCCATTCCTCGCCTGGCTTGCAGACCTCACAGCAATAGGTGTGCGCAACGTGATGGAGGAAGGGTGCCATTTCACTCCCACATTCACGCGATGGAAACAGCGAGAAATACACCTAGCGCACTACAGCTTGGGAGACCCATTTGCTTTCTAAAATATCTCCTGAACCAAAGAGACCAAATCTAGATGTAAAATGAGATTAGACCCAATGACAATCATCTTGACTAGTTTGCAGCAGCACTTGTCAATGGGAGGAAGAGGGGAAGCGAGAACTTTACCTTTGTACCTTGAGAAGGAAAGGCTTCCTCGAAGTCAGCCAGGATCTGCTGTCCTAACTCATTCTGTGCTGCCTTCACCCTGATGAGGACAGAAGATGCAAGGGCTTTGTCGGTGGTACAACAACTTTTCCGTTTCATTGTCTGCAAACTTTACGAAGGGGACTGAAACACTAACAGCTACACAAACGTTTCTAAGGGACAAAAAAAAGCACGCTAAAGAAAAACATTCACGGTAAGAAGGCCTGTGTGCCAAAACTGGGAGAGCATTTGCTCCATGAATGATATTGGGATGACAACTCCAGCTCTACAGCATTGATCCCTGAGCTGTAGCAGAACCCATCTCAGATGCTCTTGCCCTGCTGCAATTTAGTATTTTAATACAGGCCAGTTAATCAGCTGAGAAATCAGCAGGGTTCCTTTAATCCCAATTGATCAATTTATCTTTACATTCATGTACGTTGATCACGTTTCAACAAAAGAGTGTTTCTAACATATAAAGAGCTTCCCAATGTCTCAATCTTCATCGTGAACCTTTCACAGTTCCAGGTGCACTGACCTCCTTTTAAATGCATCCATGTGAACACTCTTGGCTGTGATTTTATCCTATAAATCCTCCACGTCTTAAGAAGCATAAAAGAGCAAAGGTCTTTTGAACAAACCACAATCTTGTTCTTTATTTAGCCGAGAGAATAAAGCTTCCAATTTCCAGAAATAAAAGTCAATACAGCTTAATTGATACTTCTAGGGAAATGGAAATGCCTACACATATTAGAAAGAGCCAAAACAAACAGTCAGGCACTTATATCCCTCTGCAGCCCTTGAATTCTTCCATCACTTTTTATTATACTGGAAACGCTTTAAGGTCTAAGCTGATCATTCAAAGCAGTGGATTTTTCCACTGAGATTGATACGTTAGAGAGAGCGGCTACATTTACTTCTGTGAAAATGTTTGTTCAGACTGTGGGGAGAAGACTTGGGATTTTTTTTTTTGTTGTATAAGACTCCTCAACCTTATCAAGGAATGATCTGTGTCTTTAATCTTCCCATTTGAGGTCCATTAGTAGCGAAACACTACGAGATGACCTGACAGTGCTGGAGAACAAGCCGGATTCTTTAATGGTGCCAAATGCAAAAAATTCCAGTCCTTCAAAACTAATGGTTGAAATATAACTTTATCTCCGTGATTTAACTGTATGTATGACCTGCCTTATCCAGGATTTTTTAACGGGGATTTTGCTGGCAAAACTTCCTGTCTGCAATGTCAAACATAATTCTCACTTAAGCTCTCTGCTTCCCAGGAATGTTTAGAAACGCCTCTCCTCTTCCAGGTATGGATCCCCAGTTAACACCTTCCTAACTGTGAAACAAAAGGGATTCACTAATATATAAAAATAGGAGGAGTGGGAAATTTAAGCATTAAGGGGGAACCCAGCCCAGCAGCCACAACTACAGGTATAATCCTGCTTTAATTGCATGAGTAAGCACTAGGAACTCGTGTGAGAAAGCAGAACCAAAACCTTTGATCCTTAAGAAAAAGGAGGAAAAAAAGAATAAAAAAAAAAGCCACTAAACATGGATTGAAAAAATTTCTCTTTTAAATAACCAAGAAACAAGAAGTCTTTAGTATTAGGAGTCACAGAATGAATGAGTTGTGTATAAACTGGATGTAGCGGCCGTGGTACTTCTTTCCTCGCCACCGGGCGCAGGGACCTTCCCATCTGACGACAGCTGCAGCGCAAGCACAGTGGAGCACCGAAAAGCGCGGCAGCCAGATTCCTAAAGACTCAACAAATTTAAGCGAGGCACTGTCAAGCAGTTGAAAGCCCTGTCCGCGGGCTTTGTTGTTTTAGGCTCCGATTCAGGAAAGTACTTAAGGGTAGTCTTAACGGGGATTCTAATACCCTTAAATTAAGAAACTTGCAGGAAATGCCTTGCTGAACTGGATATAAAAAGACATATATATATTTTTTTAAAGATCTGTCCTGCTTAAAAATCTCTCAAAAGCAAACAGGGAAAATGAGTTTTAGTGCTTTTTTCTCCTCCCATATTTTATAAGATAGGGATAGGGCAGAGATATCAAAGTAGCCAAAGGTTTAGGTATGTGTGAGCAATGACAGGGCCCCTCGCTGCCCTCGCACTAACCACCACTCTTTACATGAGCACACACACACGCACAATTATTTTTTTCCATGAGCATGCAACCAGAAACATGAAAAAGTTTACGCCATCTCCTTACAGAGTGGTTGCTTTAGGCAGAGAACACAGGAAGGCACTCGCTTTATCAACTGGAGATTATTGCTCCCCATGGAAAGCTTCATAGAATCATAGAGTGTTTTGAGTTGGAAGGGACCCCTAGAGGTCATCTAGTCCAACCCCTCTGCAATGAGCAGGGACACAACTGCATCTTCATGCAATAGAAACCGCAGCAGTAAAAGCCTCGACCCCAGGGCTCACTTCACTCACGTTCACCGCGGAAGGACCGATTCTGCACACCTAAGAGCGTGGGTTTAACCACTCGCAGAAAGCGAATTACCCACTAAGGCTCAGCAACCCCGATAACTGATTTAGGATCTCTCCTACGGTCGGTTGGATAAGGATACCTTTCCCAGACTAGATTCCTAAAAAAAGCTAGGGTATCGCAGCAGCCGTCCTGGCTCGCCACAGCAGGGAATTGCCTTTTCCTGGGGTTGCTTGCATGTGCCAAAACCTTTGGTTACCCAAGTATTAGTGATTTTAGTTTCTCTGACTTTTGTTTTATTATTAGTGGCTTTTGTTCTCGGTTTCCCCCGCCTTTAAAAAAATAAAAACAAGAAAACCCACTGTTATGTTTCAAATGACATTAAATTACTAGAAACCGCAATTCCTTTCGCCAAAGCTACCAGAAATCTTAGACCACACCTGGCAGCTTGCTGAGATAAAAAGAGGCTGAGCTAGCCTGTTTTTCTGTGGCAAACTTATAATCATCTTTCTCCTAAATACTTTCCAGGCTTTTTTCCACTCTCTGCTAGGCTTTCTCCACCACTTTCATGGGTGGGTTTGTGCCTGCCAACTGTACGCTCCCTCCCCACAGAAAACAGAAGAGGATTGAGAGACAACAAAATATTCTTATTTACTACAACAAACAATTTCCAATGCACCACAGAAGAAGTTGTTTTAGGAACACGATTTGGAAAATATTTACGTTTGGATGCGAGTTGTGACATTTTCACATCAATACTCAACAGGAGCAGCACAAGAAGCCAACCAACTGAGATTCAGCCCAGGTTTCCAATGAATGCTTACAGTGGGATTTTGTTTGGTTATTTTCAAAGGGACAGAACAGGTGAAAAGCAACATCAAAACCAGATTGTTGGTTTTCACAGCATCTAGGAGCAGGAACCAAAACTGAACACCCCATGACAAAGAGCACATCCAACACCACCGAGGAGACACTTTTCCTTCCCATGGTTTCCCATTCGTATTTGGCTTCACTCCATTCACACCAAGAAAGAGAGGCTCTTTATTAAAAAAAAGCAACAGAATCTGCTCGTTTAGCAGTGTATATAATAGACTTATTGTATAGAATAGACTTCGGTTACTGTCACAGGTCTGTGCCAACTTCTACTAAAGCATTTCTTGCCTTTGCAAACGTTACTGTCACAGGTCTGTGCCAACTTCTACTAAAGCATTTCTTGCCTTTGCAAACATCCAAAAGGCTTCAATTGTACCATTAAACCAAATTCAGGAGATATCAAACCCCAGCAATTTCACCATCTAAAAATAGCACTGCGAGAAGCCAGGCAAACTTCCTTTGATGTTTCATGAATCACGAAAACTATTTCCAAGCACAGAGAGAGAAAAGTCAACTCCAAATTGGGCCCTAATACGTACACGCATAGGCAAACTCCAAGGCAGGTATTACTGTGCCGTAGACCTCCCCGCAGTAATTTGCTGCCTGGATGTCGAAGCAGTAAAGAGATCCCAGCAACACCCTGGGTGCAGCTCTCCTTTCGCCCCACAAGCAGCCACTTCTATCGCTACCAGATGGTGCAACTCTCCCTGTGTAAACACTGGAAGGAAAACCCTGCCGAGGCAATTCTAAAAATAGGAGGAACAGACTTTCTTGAGCTTTTCAGATCCTTATCTTGAAGGGAGAATAAAACAAAAGTTTTCCTCCGCGTCCTTGCCAGTCTCTCTGGCGTGACTCGAAACCACTGTGCCTTTTAGCAGCAGCATGAATTGTTTTCTATAATTATCAGCAGCTACAAAGTATTAAATAATCATCCATCAGAAATGGAAAACCAGCCAGAATTCTGGACCGGGGCTTAAATTATATTTGGCCTTAAAATGGCCAATGACAGAAGGTTTCTGCCCAAGGGCATTACCACGCTGGAAGAAAATGAAGCAAGCTATCTTTCAGAGCATAAGGTTGGAATAGACACAGCCTAAATTCAGAAAAGCAGTGACACATGTTTATATTTCCTTGATGTTCATGTTCACTTAAGCAAATGCCTATGGTCAAATGCTTTGTTAAAACAAGGCCCCATCTCTCTCTCTGGATTTAGAGTGGATTTTTCTTTTGCTCTGTCTCATGGATTCCATCTGGGTTTTCTGGAAGAGGTATCTCTACCGTAAAGAAAGTCCAACAGATTTACACGAAAATATTACAAACAAATCATTCAAACACTGTTTCCATCACTAAAGAGCACAGGCAGCCAGCTGCTGTCTTAGCAAAGGGAGTCGCCAAAAAAATTAATTACTGTGCCTGGAAGGGCTCTGTCAAGTACCTCTGTAATGAGCAAAGTCATCTCAGGCATCAAGAGGATGGTGGTGATAAATTTTCAATTTTCACACTGAAAAGCAATGCTGTCAGGTACAGCTGTACCATTAAGAAGGTTCCTCCCTAACGTTAATAAGCTGTTTTCACCTCTGAGCTGTGCTCAGCGCTCCTGCAGGCTGTTAAGCAAACATCATGTGTGTGATGTAAGAGAAATAAAGCCCGCTGTGAAGCAGGAAGACAAAGTTTTGGCCAGGGACAACAATGGACCCTAGAACAGGGAGGGCCTTGTTCCTTCCACACCCAGCGGTCACATCCCAAACGAAGCCAAGACCCGAGGAGATGTGGTGGCTTAGTCACCACTGAGCCTTCACCGGCTACTGCTGCGAATGGTGGGCGCTCGCCGCTGGAGCTGCACCAAAACTCTCCAGATTAAACGTTAGAAAATCAAAACTATACAAGCTCAGCATAAATGCTTAGAGCAGCCAGTGTTCTGCATGCAGTTTTGGGAAGATTTGCTATAAATCTCAGCAGAATTGGGCCATGGGAGCCAGTTTTGGCAGAAGAAACTCAAGGTGCTCAGAATAACTCAGTTCAGCAAATGAACAAGAAATCCTGCCTGCCTAAACCTTTGGGCAGCTATGCAGTTTGACAGATACTCGACAGGAGTAAGGCACACGTCTGGGCAGAAAGGGGCCCCAAGCACCACTATGTTAATGCATATATTTCTGCTTCATGCCAGGCTGCTGAACTGTATCACTGAGGTTAAGAAAGCAGGAGAAGGCATCACCTCAGGGTTCACCACAAACACCTGTGCATGAAGATCACATAAACCAATTTGCACTGCACAGATAACTCCTATGGTAAATTAAAAGCCAGTCAATAAGAAGCACAGATCATTTATGAATTACATCCATACTGATTACTGTTATTTAACAGAATAGGCTGCTCAAGATCCGAGCAAACCGTGTCCAATTTTAACCTGTTTGTTTTGGCTGGAAAGAAGCTCAAAGGACCGTGTCCAGCACTGAGAAACTGATTCTGCCTAATGCATTTTTTAACCTTCGTTCCCAACAGGCATGCGAGTGCTCAGGGTTTGATCATTTTACCTTTCAGAAAGCTGTCGAATCTGAGGAATCCCCATGTATTTGTTGAAGTGCTCTAACACATTCACGACACCTTGGAGAAGGTTGGCAACTTCCCCATATTGTCTCCTCCTGGTCATAGCCCTGTAGAGGAAATGAAAGATTTACAAAGGCAGGTTCAATTAAAATCCTGGGTGGTAATTCCACAGGTTACCTCATCCCCACTGGGTCATGCTGGTCCCTATTGACATTTATTTTTCTAAAATACACAACTCTTCATTAACATTCCAATGCAGCATTAAAATTTCACTCAACTGATCCTAAAATAAACCAATCCAGCACACATCTAACAATGCTTCAAAAAACATAAATGTCAAAAGCAACACTTGGCAAAGAACATGTAAACTACTGAATGCATCCACTTCCCAGTATGGGTCCGGAGGCAGTAAATGTTATTTCACTGTAATGACTTGAGTTAAGCCATTCGTCATCACACACAAAGTGTGAGTTAAAGCTTCACAGGGAGGAGATCATTGTGCTGAAAAGCTATTAGCCTTGACTTTTCTGTTAATAACTTTCACAGGGAACTGACAGAAAAAAAAAATCAAGTTTATTTATTTTTATTTCATCCTTTAGGATCATTCCAATGGAGCAGCTTAAGTAAAATTTAATTTTGAACACTTAACAACTCAGTGTTCGTGCAGAATTTGCTACAATCCAAGAACAGGCTGTGCCTGGGTCTCACAACTTCACAGATGCAATATGTAAAAAACTGGATTTCCCTAGCCTGTGTGTTCCTCTAGCACATTAAAAAAACCCACAAAGGATTATTAGAAACTTCATACCCACTTCATACACAGTACAAGCTGTAAGGTTTCTCTGAACTCATTCTCAGAACTAGATTAGACCTTTCCGAAAAAGAGATCTCATTCCAGTTTAAGACATGGCACTCATAAACATCCCCCCAAATCCCTGAAAGGCACATCCCTAATGAGGATACCTAACTGCACAGACTGTCTTACTATTTCACGAAGCCAGACTCCTTCCTTATCGCCAAGGATCAACAGAGCAATTCAAGCAATCGATGCTGCAAACCCTTAAATACAGCAATGTAGGCTGCAGGTCAGCCAGAGCAGCACAGAAAGGATCTGCCAGCAAAAATCAAGACTGCAACTTATTCAGCAAACGTCCCTCCAGAAAAACAAGCAGCTGTTACAGACCTATTCAGAGCACCGCACCAAGCTTGAGAACTCAGCAGTGGCATCCAAGTACCACTAAAAATTCACACACTTACTCCAGTGAATCCACGCCCCCCGCCAGCATGTGCAGGTGATTGAGGGTGGTGATGGAAGTAGTCAGATGCCTCTTGGCATGATCTAGCTGTTTGATATCCCGTGTGATTTCTTTAACCTAGCGAAGGAAAAAACAAGAGTCTAGTTAAATATCACACCACAGCAACAAAAATTTAAGGGGGTAGGAAGGGCTCTCTCCTCTCTTTGGACTATAAGCATGTTGGCTCCTCAGCCACGTTAACGCGAAGACAAGGGTACAGGTTCAACACATGCTTGACAGTAAATGACCAACCAGTCAGCAAGACCAAAGACAAAAATGTTCCCGTCTTAATGAGAACTGGAAGCAAAAGTCAGTGTCCCCCTCCCTTTCAAAGGCTAGAAAGAAACTGCTGCTCACCATTTGTTCAGATTTTTCAGCCTTGTCTTTAATATCCTTAATTTTACCAAAGAGCTGTTGAATGGCTTTCTGGGCTTCTTCCAGGGCCTGGAAAAGAAACAAGGTCAGAGTGGAAAGAAAACCTGCATTCAGTTCTCACTTTCTTAGAAATACACAGGGGCTCCCTGAAGCCCCTGGGCTGGGGCGGTGGAGGGGAGCTGTTTTCTTACAAAGAAAGTATGGTCAGCGCATCAAAAGTCAATGTATCACCTTGGGATATTTAACCTGAGTGGACCAGGGTTTCAGTATCTGTTTTACAATAACGCTCTGGCAAAATCTGATTGAGATTTGCAATGAAAGCACCTCTGTAATAAGAGCTACAAATAGGTTTAAGGTTACTGCAATAAATTTTGACATGCTAAGTGTGGAAAAATATGTAGAACTTACTCCTGATCGATACCTATTTAGAGCAGGAAAATGAAACCTCCACAAAACCTCTATGCTCACAATTAATTCTAAATAAAAAATACACAGTGTTACACATAGAACACCGCGTGCTTGCCTACACCCCTCACTAAATTAGCAGGATATTATCCCGTTGGAAAACAGCGATGTGTATTTGCTGACTCCTTTGGGGCGGGCAGGCCAGCCTCCCACCCACCTCCATGCAGGAGGAATGGCTCTCTCTGGGCACAGGTTTAGCAGGTAAAGAGGGTCGAGCACGGGAAATGGCCTCGCCTGGATTTTTGTGCAATAGCAAAGGGGACCAGGTGCCCCAAGAAGCTTGCGGTAAAATATTACCTGGTCCCCTTTGCACAACCATGATGCATCCTGACCTCACACAACCAGCGTGAGCTACACGTGGATTCAATGACTGAAGCCACATGTCCAAAATCACATGTCCAAAATCTGACTTCTGAAGTAATTCAACACGTTTTGCCTTCCCAGTCTGATAACATTTCCAGCTCCAGCTCCACTTTGTTTCCCGCTGTTAAGTGGGCTTCTCTCCCTCTGTTTTTATATCCAGTCCCATGACCAAGGTTACAGCGCAAGCTACAAGCTCCTTCAGCAAATAAATTTAACACATCTTCATTTGGGAACGTATGAGCAAACTATCTGCCAGGAGCTTTTGCTGGAACGTAGCTGCGTTATAATAAAAGTATAAAGGTTGGAAACGTTTTATAATTCATTTTCCAGAGGGGGGAAAAAAAAAGCCTCCTCTAAAATACCTCCCGAATCATGTGAAAGTTAACACTTTATCTATTAGTGTCACACAGCTATCATATAGCATGTTCACTAGGAAATGTGCTGCGGGGACAACTGCATCAGAAATGAACACCACCACCTACCTTCTCATTTGGCTCCAGCCTAGCCACCTTTTAGAGTAAAGTTTTCTCTTCCATTTAAAGACACATGGATTAAGTGCAAACCAAAGAACTAAAGAATGCTCCTTTCAACATATTTAACTCTAGCCTCTTGTACTCTGTCCCAGACCACGGCTGCAGCACATTACTCAAGCGGGCTATTAAGCAAGCAGCAACTGTCCTGCATATTCTGAGATTTGGACAGGTCTGTAAAAAAAAAAAAAAAAAGCCAACCTGAAATTTTTCCCAGATGCCAATTGCTATGTTTCCCCTTGCTTCAGCACTGATGTTAAACGCTGATTTCTCTGCATGATCCTAGGGAAGTCAGAGCTGCTGAATTCTCCAGAAGAAGAGATGAGGATTTAGTCAGCCAACAAAAAGATTCTCCAAAGAGATGTTACCCTGCTTCGTATCCAAAGCCAAGGCAATCTCACAAAACTTACTAAATCTTTGGATCATCTCAGGCCAACTTAGGATCTCACGCATGCAAAACCACTGGGAGGCAAAGTACAGAGGATCCCTTTAAAAAAGGAAAAAAGGAAGACAGGGGAACTACAGGCCAGTCAGCCTCACCTCTGGACCTGGAAGGATCATGGAGCAGATCCTCCTGGAAACTACGCTAAGGCACATGGAAAAGAAGGTGATTGGTGACAGCCAACATGGCTCCACTAAGAGCAAATCGTGCTTGACACATTTGGTGGCCTTCTATGATGGGGTGACAGTATTGGTGGATAAGGAAAGAGCAACTGATGTCATCTACCTGGACTCGTGCAAAGCATTTGGCACCGTCCCACACAACATCCTTGTCTCTAAATTGGAGACACATGGATTTGACAGATGGACCACTCGGTGGCTGGATGGTCACACTCAAGGAGTTGAAGTCAATGGCTCAATGTCCAAGTGGAGAACAAGTGGCGTTCCTCAGGGGTCAGTATTGGGACCGGCACCATTTAACATCTTTGTTGGTGACATGGACAGTGGGATTGAGTGCACCCTCAGGAATTTTGCCAACAACACCAAGCTCTGTGGTGCGGTCAACACACTGGAGAGGAAGGATGCCATCCAGAGGGACCTTGACAGACTGGAGAGGTGGGCCTGTGTGAACCTCATGAAGTTCAACAAGGCCAAGTGCAAGGTCCTGCACACAAGTTGGGGCATCCCAAGCACAAACACAGTCTGGGCAGAGAATGGACTGAGAGCAGCCCTGAGGAGAAGGAATTGGGGATGTTGGTTGATGAGAAGCTCCACATGACCCAGCAATGTGTGCCTGCAGGCCAGAAAGCCAACTGTATCCTGGGCTGCATCAGAAGAAGCGTGACCAGCAGGTCGAGGGAAGTGATTCTCCCTGCTCTGCTCTTGTGAGACTCCACTTGGAGTACTGCATCCAGCTCTGGGGCCCCCAACATAAGAAGGACATGGACCTGTTGGAGCAAGTCCAGAGGGAGGCCACGGAGATGATCAGGGGGCTGGAGCACCTCTCCTGTGAAGACAGGCTGAGAGAGTTGGGGTTGTTCAGCCTGGAGAAGAGAAGGCTCCAGGGAGACCTTATAGCAGCCTTCCAGCATCTGAAAGGGGCCTGCAAGAAAGCTGGAGAGGGACTTTTTGCAAGGGCATGCAGTGACAGGACAAGGGGCAATGGCTTTAAACTGAAAGAGGAAAGACTGAGATCAGATATAAGGAAGAAATTCTTCACTCTGAGGGTGCTGAGGCACTGGGACAGGTTGTCCGGAGAAGTTGTGGATGCCCCAGTCCCTGGAAAAGTTCAAGGCTACGTTGGATGCAGCTTTGAGCAACCTGGTTTAGCGGAAGGTGTCCCTGCCCATGGCTGGGGCCTTGGAACTGGATGATCTTTAAGGTCCCTTCCAACCCAAACCATTCTATGATTCTATGATCATAGAATCATAGGAGCCTGGGGAGGTCCTACACACCATGCAGCACAACAGCACAATGCAGACACGCAGCAGGACCCCCCCCAAATCCCCAACTAGCTGTATGCTTCTTAGACACATCTCTGATCCCATTCACCTCTCCTAGGTCTAATTTTTCAGATGCAGGCTCGGACAACAGCCACAGCAGCTCTCCTTAGCACAACTGCCAAGGCGAACTCTAAGACTTCCAGCCATTAAAATCCCTATCCACAAAGGGAAAACTGTCTTATCTGTTTTTCTCATGAGACAGAATATCATCCACTTGAATATAGGGACCTTTTCCAAAGTTACGGCACGTAATTTATCCTCAGATGGCCCAAACCAGGCCCTGAAGAGGATTTCTAGCTGCCCACATAACAGCAGTTTTTCTTTTGCTCACTGTTAAGAAACCACACTCAATCTATTTCTCTAACGGGTCATGGTGCCATTTAATAATATTGTGACAAAACCCAGCAGAGACTGTTTACAGGAAACTGGTTTACACCTGAAGAACATGTTCCTGCTGCTCACCCTGCTCGGTGGAAACCAGCACCCGCAGCAGTGGGCAAACTCCCCACCTAGAAACTGCCCAAAGTAAAATGGGATTTTGTTCTCATACGCTTAAAACTGCCAAAAATAAGGTGAATTGGTGTCATCACCTGGTCCTGACTCTTGTAGCTTTTACCTCCTTACAGACTCTGGAAAAACATAAATGAGACAACATGTGCTCTGCCCCCGTCTGATGGATTAAAGAACTGTGGTCTCCCACTGCTGTGAAAAATAACATGGCTGGGACGTGGGGGAGAGACCGAAC